TATTAAAAACGACTGAAAGTTCTTCTGAAGGTGCGCTAAACTGGTAACAAAGAAATGTCACTGCCAAGTCACATTAAGCTGCTTTTATGCTGCGCTTGCTTATGAGGATATTTACACCCCCGTTAGTTTCAGTAAAGGGTGATGTATTGCGGTTTCCTTTTCTTAGTAATTGCTCACTCACTTATTCCGCGTGTCACTTAGCGCACTGCCTGTTGCTGTCGCACTTTGGTTCGGTACTAGCGCCCGGTGGCAGATAGTAAGAAATCTGGGTGACACACACCGACGCATTTTGACATTTACTGCGGAAAGACCATTATCCCGGGAAATTTCCAGGATTACTGCTGGAAAAACTCTTTCCTGTGACCTATTCAGCAAAACATATTAATACGTAAGAAGTGCACTCCAGCAAAAAAAAAAGATAATAATAACAATAATAATAATAATAACGGTAATAATGATAATAATAACGATAATAGTGGTAATAATAATAACAACGGTAATAATAATGATGATAATAGCAGTAACAATGATAATAATAATAATAATAGTAATAAATAATAAATAATAAATGGTAATAAATGGTGATAATAAAAGTGACGATAATAATAATGGTGACAACAATAATGATAATAACAATGATGATAATAGTAATGATGATAATAATAATAATGATAATGATAATAGTAGCGCGCATATGCGTCCTTCGTGTGCAATGTATTTGGTTGACAGTTGGCTAGGATGAATGCACGGTGTGCACGCTTTAAAGTATTATAAACAGATGCTTGTTGCTTGCTTAGTCAAAATACATACTTTCCTTAGTTTTCAGTGTGTTCTGGTCCCTCATAGCTGTTGTTTGGTTACCAAATATCCTTTCAGAAATCCTAGCGCTTGGTGTGTTTCTTTGTTTTGCATAGTAGCTTGCATCCTTCTGGAAGTCCTAATGTTTCACTGCATTTGAATTTTCTGAAAAGTTTCACAGCATAAAAGTTCGTCTTTAACTGATTGGTTGGTTGCTTGCAGGGATACATTCCACGAGACCCGGT